TACTGTAGCATACCTCGTCTTAATGGTACAATAGATATTTTTCGCCTCTTCCATACTTGTATTTGACACAGCTATGGATGCTTGCTTTTCTTACATCTCTGATGAAGTTGAAACTGCCGTAACATATCCCATAATAATAATGATATAGAGGTTTTTGTTGCACAGCACAGTTACTTCTTTTTTCATAACTTGGGCACACGATCAAATCCCACTATTCGATTGAAGTAGCCCAAGAGTTGGCGGTGGGTGCTATTTTGCAACTGACTTACCTCTAGTATATCAATTCAAAATTAGGGACGGCTAGCGCAGATAGCCCTGTGTAGCTTTTCACGAATATCCGAAACAAACTTTCTTAACTTACAAAACATCGCAGATAACCTTGTCAGACGTCTACCCTAAACATCAGAACTATTTTGTTATTTAGGTAAAACAACCACTGAATAGGCATTGCTCCTGTGAGTAGTAAACAGCGATTATTTCACATCTTCCTTGGTTTACAAAACATTCCACAGAGAATGCAAGCTTGGTCTGTTGACTTATCTGAATGGAGCGACATACGTTGTTTCTTTCCCATTAGTCATAAAAAGAAAATCACAAAGCAAACACACTATATTTATATAGTGTTACAAGTGTACAGCAAGGGTTGATTTCTACCCCATCTTTCATAGATATTTTAATGAAGAGGGATTTTGATTAAACAGAATGCCAAAATAAGTATAACGAACAAAATTAATTGTTACGTTTGTTTGATGAAGTTAATCCTTCTTAAGCACCTGTCTTCACTTTTCTCATATCTAATCAATAATTGTCACATCTTTACCTTGTTTCTAGAATCTTGGAAGACCTCTTCTACTAGAGTGTTGATGCACTCGTGGAATTGTTTTACTGTATTAGTCGATTATTTCATTTCTTTTTTTGCGAGCCAGAAAGGCCAAGTACTATGGTTGTACAGTATCAATGGTATAAATTTGCTGTTCATCATGAATTCAGTCCCTCACAAACTTCATACACTAGTATTTTGCCATCAAATCCTGTTATTTCAAGTAGAGCTATTATGTGTAAAAAAAAAAAAATTCGGAGCAATAGTCCAGATTTTTGAAGTCAACAGTGAAATTGCATTTGGCACAAAATGACTCTCACTATTTGTGCTAGGTCTTTTCCACTTCTTTCATTGTTAACGATAGTTTCCTGCACTGAATCAGTGACAGTGTACAAAGATCATATTCAGCAAAGTTCACTCCCAACTCCCACAGAAGGCCCAGACTAATTATTTATATATATACTGTCATTTTAGATCGATATCAACTAGGAAATTCAATACTTATCACTTGACCAAAACGGGAGTATATCAAATTCTAACCCCATTTCTTCATTCGACTTTCCCAACTAACTCTTTTTTTTTCTTTTACTGAGGATGGTACTTTGCTTGTGCTGAAATCTCTGAGCCTAAAGCTCAAAATATATAATAAGAAATTTGATATGGCGGCTTTCCTCTTGGTGATGACTACTTGCAGCTTGTCCCCCAGTGGCACAACGGTATGTCTGTGGACTTACAACGCTAGAAACCGAGTTTTGATATCCGTGGTGGGCAGAGCACAGACAGCCCATTCAGTAGCTTTGTGTTTAATTACAAACAGACTTGCAGCATTCTTTAAGACGTCGTTGGCTTTTTGCATTAAATATCCACAGCACTGTTGTTTATTAATAGTCCCAAGAATTGGCAGTAGGTGCTGTTGACTAGCTGCCTTCATGCTAGTCTATCAGTGTAATTTGATGCGTAAATTTTAAAACAAACATTTATTAATACCACTATTTAGGCTAAACATAAGAGAAAGAAAGGGGTGATTTTTCCTTTTGTAAACTGTAAAAGTAGTTTTTAAATTCGAAAGGTGACGACTTTTTTTTTAATCCAGTGAGGACGTAACTAATAACTGGATGTCATCATTCCAGTGGCTCTGCTCAGAACAGGAGGAATTAAACCCTAATTAGCAATTATCTCTTAGGTGTCAATTACGTTATAGTACCTTTAGAAAGTGATAAGATCAATGGCAACAGTACTTTTTATAGGCAATAAATGAGTTGTTGTTTCCTAGTTGAAGTGAAATTTACCAATAAATGAAAAAAGATTATAAAAGATTTTATATTCAACACTGAACCTGCTAAATTTTGAATTGGGACATAAGATCAGGTGTACATTGTACCAATTCTCCTTAGAATTTTGTTGACTTACAAACATCAGTTTCTTTATAGCCTTCTTCAACCTTTTCATATTCTCTCATCATGCACCCATGCTTTCGTTTACCCTTCCTTCTGTCTACTTATTTGAATACGCAATATTTGAAGTTTCTAGATGCACCGTCTGTATCTTCATCATGAATATCTCAATTTCTTACTATACCAACTAAGATATTTTTCCTGAAGTTTTTAGGAACCATTAGCTTTCAACAGATCATGACTTTTTATTATTAGACATCGATAACTTCACTAGGGGAAACTGTCATTCTCCTTCATCAGGAAATTATACTGGTTCAGTAATGTTTACATTTCTTTATAAGAAACTTGGGACCATCTTTATTATTCTTTTATATATTATTCATGTGATTACTTTGTCTTCTGATTGTTTCTACCAACACTCCTGAGAGGTTCATCCCTCCTTTTATTACTTGGTGGTTTCCGTGATTAAGTCCTGACATTGCAATAAATCTTGGCAGGTCTTTAGAACAGCTAAGCTATACTGCCTTGCTTTCAATATTACTGTTCATAAGATACAGAAAAACAGATTGACGGATTTGAAAATATACCAATATATATATACAGATAAATAGGTGCATAAACAGATACCAACGGATAGATATTCTGATACAAAAATGCAATGAAAAGTATACAAGTCTGTGTATGCATACACAAATATGAATAGATACGTATTCTTACTGATAAACGGTAGCCTTGCTTCGTAAATACTTTCTGGCTTTCCTTGTTAACTCTCATTTCTTCATCCAACATCATCCCAAGCTCGGCTATTTCCATTTGCAGCTTGTTCTTTGTCCACTTGGCATCCGACTGCAAGCGAGACTCAGCTTCTGAGAAATGATATAGCAGCTGCTCAATCTGCGTCTGTACCTCTTGGCTAGAATATATCAAATGATATTGTACTGACAATAGTTACACGTATAGGCGGAAAGGGTTTTTAAAACAGGCCTAGTGTTGTTTTCAAAAACACATTTACACTCATTGAGAAACAGTCTTGCCTAAAAACGCATACCACTTGTCACATGGGTAATAGACAGAAAGGCTTATTAAAACAGGTCTTATGATTACCATCAAGAAACTAAGCTGCATTTTATAAACAGGGTGCTTGTCTAACCTGCCTAATGTTTGTCATAAAGATTGTTTGTTTGTTTTGAATTTCGCGCAAAGCTACACGAGGGCTATCTGCGCTAGCCGTCCCTAATTTAGCAGTGTAAGACTAGAGGGAAGGCAGCTAGTCATCACCACCCACTGGCAACTCTTGGGCTACTCTTTTACAAACGAATTGGGATTGACCGTCACATTATAACGCTCCCACGGCTGAAAGGGCGAGCATGTTTGGTGGGACGGGGATTCGAACCCGCGACCCACAGATTGCGAGTCGAGAGCCCTAACCACCTGGCCATGCCGGGCCTGTCACAAAGAAACAAAGTTATAACTTATAATCAGGGGAATTGTCTAACCTGCTTAATGTTTGTCATAATGAGACAAAGTTACAGCTTATATTCAGGGGGCTTATCTAATCTGCCTAATGTTTGTCACCAAGAAACAATGTTACACTTTATAAACAGGAGGCTTGTCTAACCAGTTTTAATTATTGTTATCGAGGGACAAATAACATGTATAGACAGAAAGGCTTTTGAAAATAGGATTAATGTTTATAAGTAAAAACAGTAATGTATAAACGAACTGCAGTTACCTAATTTGCGAATAAAAGTTCAGTAGCGCTGATTGTTTAATTTCGACTTATTTTGAATAATTAGAAAGGTATTCATATCATAGTCTGGTTTTTGGCTTTACAGATTGCTTTGAATTAAACTGGGGGAATCTAGGGGAAGGTGACTGAACAGAGATTCAATATCTAGATTGACTAAATAAATATCTTCATCAAACCTCAAGTTTCTAACACTATAAAAAAAAATCAAAGCTATCTTTCGCTGTGTAACTATTAAAAGGAAATTCAGTGGAAAACGAACATAAGAATTTGGTCAATGTGCCATTAAAACAAGCTACGTTGTAAACAACAGGTATAAGGAGACAATCAAATTTGTGAATCTTAAATAATCAGTAAAGAGTGCTTGTGTGGAAACCGATGGGTCTAATGTCATTATAAGTACTGTTGTCCAAGATATTAGTATTCTTTTGAATTAGAAAGAATATAATCAGTTTTTCTATTTCGAAAGTTTAGAAAACTTGGTAGTGTTACTAACTGCCTGTGTTACATTATCAATGTAGTTTTGTTTATTCAAAATAACTGTACAGTTTCTTTTGTCTGATTTAGTATAAAATATTACTGTTGGATTTAAACATATCTTTTTTTTTCTCTGATGGTGTTAAAATGTCTGTGCCCAAAATTATAGGAACGTAACCATGAGAGGGCGATGCTAGAAATATGTATTCTAACATTATTGAAAGTTTCATTACAAAGTGGATAAACATCACAAGTTTGAGTTTTCTTAACAAGATATAAAGATAAACCAGATAATCGTGGTACCGAAGTTTTCCTAGTAGATGAGAATATCTCAAACGCCTAGATAAAACCCTTATTTCTATTTTCCCTAGTGCATAGTTAAACAAGTTATAAATAACTTTATCCAGGAAGTCTAAAAATCCTCCAAATGATTAAAACGATATTTCTTGTGTTCGTTATTGTGAAAACACTCAACGAAACTATTTTAATGGATGAAATTCACTAGACTGACAACGTTTGCCATTTTAAGTTCAGGAAGTCTTTAATTTAAATAAAGATTTTTTTCTTTTTACTCTTATTTTAAATCTGATTACAGCGTCCAAATATTTGCGTTGAGTGTGTCGATATAATTTGTCTTTCTTGAGAGTAACATCAACAATTTTGTACTTAAAAGAAATTTCGGAATTAAACCCAACGTTTTGCACTCTTTAAGTAACAAAAGAATGAGTCTCTATTTGTGTAATTTAATAAACGTTTTCTTAAACTTACGAAATAATCCATATCAGTGTTTTAGGAAATCTAAATAGAATTAAAGCCTTGAATTTGAAAACCGGAAGCTCAACCGCCCACAGCTGTATAAAATATTAAAGCTTTGAAAATTAAAACACGCTAAAACAGTTTGACATGACATTACAGACAAATGTTCTAGTAAAAACTTTAAAGTCAGTCTTAATGCTTGTTACCAATGAACAAATTAATTGTGATTCAAAATCCGCTATGAATGACTTAAAGAAAATGTAAGGAATGAAACATTTGTAGTCAAATGCGATTTTAATCACTTCTGTTAGGCCTGGAAATTCCCATTGCTTCTCTAGCTTAGGTGTTTACACCGTTCCTATATAAAAACAAGCTTACCTAAAGGCTTTCTGTGCAAGCACAGAATAGGTAGGTAAACATGATTAACCTTCATTTTAGACGTCATCAAATTAAATAAAATTGACAGCTACATACAAGTATTTCGAAATGTACTCGTCATGAAAGAATATAAATAATTTTATGACTCATTACTCAATTCAAGTTCTTTGTAAACTTTATCAGAGTGACTTATGGGTTTGAAAAATCAAAATGATTATTTAAACTTAATACTTTTATCAAAGTGTTCTTGTCATTAAGTTAAGTAACTGCAACAAGTGTGTGTGTGTGTGTGTGACTTATAACTAATGCAAAAAACACTGCTGTTTGATGTCACTGTCACGACAGCGACAGCTGTCGCTCTGCTTTATAAATACAAAGTAATCGCTGCCAAAGACACAGAGACCAAACTGGAAGCACAAGGTTATAAATAGGGCATAGTTTTCAACAGTAAGATAAAATAAATTCTTCAGATGTGGAACAAATGAAGCCTCAAGGTCCTACGTGAAAAAGTTTAGTTTCTTCAATCTTTGGTTTGCTACTACCTTTTTGATGTTATACAATCTCTCACAAGTATTCTGAGAAGATCAAGATAGTCATAAATCTTTTGTGTATTGTATTACGGAATGTTAGGAGATCGTTACTTGCTGAAAATCTTTATTTAAAAATTGCATTTTCCCAAAACTTTAATTCAATTTAAAGTTTCAGTTTTCCTTTTATAACTTTGTACGCAGTATTAAGTATTGTTGCGTCAACGAGTCACGTGACCACTGTGGCGCCCTCTAGTTTCTAGAACTATCTTGTTCTTTGTACGCAGTATTAAGTATTATGTTTCACTGGTTATAGTTTTTGATCATGGTCTTAAACCTAATGCTAATTAACAATAATAAAATATTATTCATTTTATTCTCTCGAAAATGTGAAGTATGTACTTCTTTTTTTTTGGGGGGGGGGTATGACTTATTCGGGCCCGGCATGACCAGGTGGTTAGGGCGCTCAACTCGCAATCTGAGGGTCGCGGGTCCGATACCCCATCCCACCAAACATGCTTGCCTTTTCAGCCGTGGGGGCATTATCATGTGACGATCAGTCCCACTATTCGTTGGTAAAAGAGTAGCCCAAGAGTTGGCGGTGGGTGGTGATGACTAGCTGCCTTCCCTCTAGTCTTACACTGCTAAATTAGGGACGGCTAGCGCTGATAGCCCTCGTGTAGATTTGCGTGGAATTCAAAACGAACCAAACTGACATAAAATTTTCATAAAAAATACCGAAGAGCAAAATAACTACGATTTTGTTTCGAATTCGACTATCGTGGTTTAAAAAATATCCAAGAAATTAAAATAACAAAAACTATTTTTGTAATTTTCGGATGATTCTTTTTGTGTCAAACACAATGTTTTCACTAAAGAACCGTGTTTTGGATTTATGTAAATTGGACGAATAAGTTCTCCCGAGTTTTTCGTTTGATAAATATGAAAATTCGTTACAACAGTTAAAAACTGTTACCAGTTTTGATTAATCATGAGTCTGATATTACTACTAAAATGTTCTTAGTGTATATGGTTTTGTTCCTAGTGGTTCAGTCATAAGCTCGAAGACTTATAGTGCTACATTTTGGGTTCGATCCCCAAGGTGTACACAGCGCGGATAACCCATTGTGCATCTTTACTATAAAAGAAGCAAAATAAAAATAAAATAATTTACTTTTAATTCACATTATTTCCAAAATTATCAAAATAATCTTCCTAAAGAAGGTGTACCACAACTTCACTTTAAAAAGTGAAGTTTCTAAAAGAGTAGGTCCCTTGTTGGGAGATCGGTAAGTATGCGGATTTATAACACTAAATCCTGGGTTAGATTCCCGCGGTGGATACATCAGAAAGCCTAACGTGGCTTTGCTCTAAAACAACCAACCAACTGAAGCGATAGAGCCTATTTACCCCAAGGATTTTATTCTATCCTTAAAAAGAGTAAAATACTTTGTATTACTATACATCATTGGAAACTTTCGAATATAACAATACACTTGCCCCCAGTTGCACAGCGGTATGTCTGCGGAATTACAACGCTAGAAACCGGGTTTCAATACTAGTGGTGGGCAGAGCACAGATAGCCCATTGTGTAGCTTTGTGCTTAACTTCAAACAAACAAACACAATACACTTTTTAAACAAATTCAAGTTTAAAACAAAATAAGGTCTAAGTGACCCCATAAAGAATTATTCTAGTAGTTAAAGATTAATAAGGATAACTTGTAAGTAAAGTACAATCCATTTTGAACCATTTAGTTAATTTTAAAGAAATGAATTGCATGTATTTATTAAAATGAAGAAATACAACTATTTCTGAAGCTGTATCAACTAATATTAGGCTAAGTGGATCATATTGTGTTTTATATGATTGCTTAAAATCTATAACTTCAAATGCCTGTTTTATTGCAGACATTAATATTGATACTTTTGCTTATAAACTAATTGACTTTTTATTTAGATCTGTGTCCTTAAATAGTGATTATTTGTTCAGATGTGTTAGAAAATTAAACACTACTTGTTTAGTGTGTTTTTTGTTTTGTTTTTTTATATTCATACGTATTGTTACGACAGCGGAAGTCAAGTGTCGCTGGTAACACGTGATGAGTTTCTAGAAGGATCATGAAGGCTCGAGTGTTTGCCAGATGCCCTCTATTTTAATATATAAGCCCGACAAATAAAGCGGAGATAATAATTGCAGATAGACAGATAATTGAGTCAAGTGAGCGGTAGTGACCATAAGAAAAGTGCGTGAATCGTTGTGAATTATAGCTTGTATTGAGAAAGAATAAACTAGTTCTATTCAAGAAAGGACTTGTATCGCTTAAGTTCCTCGGGAAGAATTTATACCGGAAATTAACAAACGAGCAGAGACATAACAGTATATTAGTATTCTCTTATTACAAACCAGAATTTCAAGCTATCAACTTTTCCAGCTAAATTTAGCGCTCGAGTTTTCTTCGCCTGTTGGTGAAATGATCCGTAATATAAAATTACTCGTAGCTTATAAAGTTTCACAGTGTGGCTTAGCTTAGCTGACAATGATCGAAGTAGGAGTTCTCAGCGTCATATTATGGTTTTTATTTAGTATTAAGTAATATAATGTCACAACACAAATCATTTCACGTAAAATTCAAGAAGTTAATCTAGAGAACTTAGTCGACTTGAACTCTTCTTTGTTTGTTTATTGAAATAAACTAAATATAAAAATTACACCAAGCCATCTTCCACACCTAAGGCCATATATAGTACCATTGTGTGACAATCTATAACATTAGCTAAAATGGGAGTGTTCTTAAAGGTGCTGGGCCAATATATTATGACACAGTGCTCAAATCCTGGCTTGAGTTCATTTCTAAGTTAGCTATTCATGCATGCACATTCATGATGATTTTAGAGCCATGAAATCTGGAGATGTTAAAAAAATAGATAACATCTTCCATAACTTATTTTACTTCATCTTCTTAGCATGTCGCTAAAGTATATAATTTACACTCATTTCTGTTTTACTTTCGATAGCTAGTGAGGCTGTATCATCAAAGTTTTGAGATCTTATTGAGCTATCTAAACTCAAGTTCTAACAGCGCTGGTACAAAATATTAGACATTCCAAGCCTGATTATCGTTTCCGTCTTACACGTTCAGTTGTGATCCTTAAGAAAAAATTTCCTTGTTTTTGGCACATGAGAAACCGAAATTTGGCAGCTGCTTCTTTCCAAAGACGTCTGTGCCACAACTAAAGCTCTGTTTAATGTTATCATTCTGGCTATTAGGAATAAGCCATCGTCTTTCTTTTCTGTTTCTAGTTCCAAAATACTCAAATTCTCCATCTATTCCTTCTCGTCCTACGAGTTTTCCTTCCGTCCCTGCTCTTCTCTTTTCATAGTTCAGCCACATACGGTATCTAAAAAGCTAGTCTTGTTGCTTTTTAATTTAAATTTTTAGTTTTTTCTGTACTCCTATATAGACTTCTTGCCAATCGACTTTTTCGAGCACGTATTCACATCATGCATGTTAAATTTCATAGAAATATACTCCTCCCATAGTTTTCTCCCTTGAAATTTGTTAGTATTTTCTGTTAACACTTGCTGATCTGACAAGTTTGTCATCTGTTCCTGGCCTTTGAATCTGACACATTTGTCAAAACTTTTTAGTCTGATGAGTGATAAGTTTGTCAACAGTTTTTGGCTTAATGAATAATTGAATTTGATAAGTATGTCAGCACTTTCTGGTGCGATGAATAAACGAATTTAATACATCATATCCGCCAATATTTACCGATCAGATGAAGTCATAAACCTAAAATATGACAATCAGAGGCCAGATGAACACAGGAATTTAACACATTATCTTTATCGATGCTTATCGACCAGATGAATTGACGAATCTTAAATATGACATTCAACACCTATGACCAGATGAACGTTGAAGGGCATGTTACACATCACATTTGTCGATATCTACTGGTCAGATGAACACGATACACTGTATATGTCAAACCTTACTAACTAAATGAGCAGGTGAACATTTTCTACCAACAAAACAATAGTTATTTTTGACGCACTATCCAGTCTCGATAGCACTATCCAGTACTACAGACTAGCGTGAAACTTAGGATAATTTAATTTTTGTTAATAATAATAGACACATTTCGTCTTACCTACATTTTACAATACAGGACTTTTGCGAGTTTTGAATGTCACACGCGATTTAATATAACATAATAAAATTAGTTCTTAAATGTTTAATACACAGTTTATAAGAATAACAGTCACCCTTCATAACTACATTGTTAGTAAATACTGACAGATTTTTTAAAGTTTACTAAATCATTTCAGTCCTTCTAAAGCCATAGTTCGACTCGATGCGCAAAAAGTGCTCCATTTAATAATATTATTTAATTTTCCCACCTTTTTTCAAATCTAACTGCAAATAGGCAGAAAAAGGAACACATTAAGTATTAATTTAATCGTCACAATAACAGATGACTGTTAGTCGCTCCCAGTCTACAACATCAAAAAGAAATTCATACGACCATTGCAATAAAAGTTTGATTATTTTTAACTATATAATTAGTAAAAAAAAACCTAATTAAAATCCACAACAAAAGCAAGTAATTAACGAGAAACATGCTTATGAGGCTTCTTTGAAAACCACTCTCAAATCAATGATTTAACATACCATCTCTCCAAAAACTCGTAAGACTTCATCGGTGGCATTGATCCATAAAACATTTGGGAGGAAAGGTTGTCCACAAGTTGTTTCTCCAGTTCAATGAGCTCTTGGCGTTTCTTAGCTTGTCGTCTTCTGCGGATCTTGGATGGTGTTATTTCTCCAACATATGAGGAGGAGCGATAGGGAGAGTAAAGGAAGGAGGACGGAGGGTCCCATTCAGTTTTGTATTTGATGCGAAAATCGTCAAGTTCTCCAAACGATCGAGTTTGTTTAATTGTATGGGGATCAAGTTCAGGAACCAGGCTGTGGAATTTGAGTGGATAAGTACTATAGCCTGCGTCAAAATTGCCAAAAGTGGAGAGACTCTTTGTAGCAGGGTCCATAGGGAGGTTTAATCCTAATTCCATAATTGGCCCCCCATCTAAAGGAATTCTAGACAAAGAGTTGCCGTAACGTTTATCGATATCATCCAAGGCGCTAGAGTAGAGACCCGTGCCGTAGTTGTAGTTGTGGTTATACATCAGAGTTAGCGGTCGTCGCCAGAACCCTTTGGGCGCCATCGGTAGTGACAAAAGTGAAACTTAAAAGTTTCGTCGAACACGGCAGCTTTCGACTATACGATCTATTGAAGATGATACCTTTTATTTGAGACAGCTAAGTATATAAAAAGACTTCCCGTTTGTGTTTAGCGAACTCTGCAAATCCTGTGAATGCTATTTTTCTTTCTGTTTTCTAGCTTCGATGCTCGCCAACTCTAAGCGCCAAGAGCATGATGTTATAACACGCTCCACGTAATATATGCATGTACTACATTTTATTTATAGAAGCGCGAACTATGGCGAGTGACGTATTTTGGTTCACAGAGTTACTTGTTCAAAAGAAGTCTGACACCAAGGGAAGCGATAAATTATCTTCAATCCTGAGAGGAATGTAGCTTGAAAATAATGTTTTATTCTATAATATCAACAACTTTAAAACCTAGTAAAATAAACAGTTTTCATTGTTCGAAGCAGGGAAGTAGGTCGCAGTCAACAATACCGTTCCCTCTAAATTTGTCCTTATGTTCGAGAGTAACACCAATTCTGTTTCTGGTGGCTGACATTTCTGTCAGTTCATAAATGTAGCTCTTCACTTGACAAAACTTTTGGTGCTGTGGCATAGGGCCTGTTCTGGTGGTGAACCCCTCCCCACGGTAGAACAAAACACAACCATACTTTTTTAATGCATTGGTATGTTAAAAGTAAGAAATGGATGGTTGTGAAAAAATAACCCATTTTCACGTGTATTTACGCATAAATATTCATAGGTACCCTAGGTAAAAAAAAAGATGTGCTGCGGAACGCCGACTGAAAATTGTAATAACTTTGTCAGTTTTTGTGATATCTTAACATAAGTGGTACTGAAATGAAGCTTATATAATGGCTTTCAATACTGTATGACATAATGTATACCATCCGTATGATTAATCTGGCATTGTGATGAAATATGCCATTTCTGGAAATTATTTTTTGAACTTATACCCAAACATTAATAATATTTCATCGTTTTAAGTTCTCTTTGGTAGAACAAGGCACAACTATATTTTTGTGATGTATTAGAATCTCCTAAGTCCAAAAAAAAAAATGGTTGTGAAATAATTAACCTGTTTTGACATGTTATTATACATGGACATCTACAGGTACCCTTGTCAAAAACGTCCTAAATCTGCATTAACATAATCAATTTTTGTGATACCTTAACAAAATTTGCACTGATGTGAAGTTTGAAGTAGGACCTTTGTTATTTAACAATATTTAACCGACCAACATTTCAAGTCAATTCATACAAGGTTTATTACTGGTGTTTCAATGAGCTATTTAACATATATCTATACCAAGTTTGAAGGAAGACTAACTTCTTATAGGGCAAAATAAATCATATATTGCAGTGATATGATAAAGATTTCAATGTTTAGAAGACTAACAATATGTGGAAGAAGTAACTGTATGTATAACATGCATTGCATCTAACTCAATAAACTATTTTTTGTGTATGTATTAGGATAATGCCAAGTGAATTTATACATACTGATTACTTCATTTCAGTGGCTTTTTTTGCATGTTTTATGAGTGTCTTTCACCTTACTTGCTGCTTGATCAAACTAGCTTAACATGAACCTTAATCTAGATTGTAGTGAATCAGTTATCTAGAGGTTTTTTTTAATATGTTTTGTGTTTTCAGGTAGGTTGACCAGGGATTTACATACACGGTGAAAGATAGATTCAGAACCACCAGATAAAAAATCCCGTTTGTTTAATGCTAAAAAATATATCATCTTGTAGCCCAACTCAAACAGTTTTATTGACATGTCCGTAGACTTCTACATCTGCACCATTAGTGGCTCTCGGCACATTTAACCGATATTCGATTTCAGTTCACGTTCACTGCAACATGTCCACAATTACAGTGGCAATGCCATCTATCATCCTGGTCTTTAGCTCTGTAATGTTTGCTATAGGTGCGCGATACGCGATGTCCTTAACATATCCCAAAAGAAGGAAGTCTAGTGGAATGATGTCTGGCAAATGAGAAGGCCACGGAATAGGCCTATTCTGCAAGCCAAATGACGCATTAAGCCTTTTCTTGCACAGCTGCCATTTTACATAGTAACACTCTCACTGGAGGGAAAAAAAAAACTGTTTGAGTTTGGCTATAAATGTTAAAAATTGCATTGCTGTATTTCTTTAGTTATTTAATTATTAAATTTTACAGTGTGAAAGATAGTTTTGGACCACCAGTATTTCAAGTAAGCAAAAAAACAAGCCAACTGTCAGAACACAAGTTTTAATTGCATTTCAACATGCATATACTTTGCAAGTGTTTTGTAGGTTGTTCTTTTCATTCATCTGTCACAATACTGGCAGATTACTTCCAAAGCTTGTATGTTCATCGTGGCTTTCCAAATTATCGAATGATGTTGGCCAACAAGATCGAAGAAATTGTGATTTCATTTTTTATAATGATTGTTGGAATGTGGATTACCACCTTGTGTGTAAAATGATCTCTTCAGAAGCGAACCTTGTTATCAATTTCGTTTACATGACATTAGGTACTGCTGAAGCACATGGTGATAAAATAATCCATGTTTCCACTTCTCCTGGTGCTATTGTGTGAAGATGTTTCATGCCATAAGCAGCAACATCATTTACAGGTAGGATGGCGGGACTAATCAACAGACCAAATAGTTGGTGGAACTCTTCACCCTCTTTTTAAGTGTAGCCGAGGCTCAATTCTTGAACTTTTTGCAATTTAAATTGTTTAAATGATAGAAACAACCACATGCTCTGGTAGCTGTTTCACTGCATTAGTTATGGCCTGGATGACAAAGACCTCAAAATCAGCTATGCTGAATGTGGGATCTTGATTTGGTGTGAATTTCACATAAAGCTACATCAGTGGTATCTGCAATAGCCATCCCTAATTTAGCAGTGATAGATTAGAGGGAAGGCAGCTAGTGAATACCACCTACTGCCAAATCTTGGGCTACTCTTTTTACCAACAAAAAGTGGGAATGACTGTCACATTATAACACCCCCAAGGGGGGGGGTCTTGAAACAATTAAAACTTAGCAAACAGAAATTCTCCATTTGCAGCTTGATACTTTCTCTGTTGAAAAGTATAAGTAGTACAGACAATCTTCTAGATGAATCTGTAGCACATACACTTGACTGAAGTGTGGAGGAATCATAGCATCCATGTATCTGCGGTACCACGTCGTAGCAGTATCCTTAGCAAAAAACAATAACATATGGTGCAGCATCTTATTTACTGTCATAGGTAAGAAACTGTTTGACATCTTCACCAGTTGTCTATGTCTAAAGTTGCACAGGCAATTATTGTGATTCTTTCACTCACACATTTGCAAACAGCTACCCAGAGCATTATAGTATGAGTAAGGTCATCCAATCCCACCAATGCAATAGCAAAGATTTGTGCTGGTGTACCTCTACTGGTTGTTGCTCCAAGTTTCGTATAAGCTCTGCACTTTGTCACTTTCATCTGGTTCATGGTTGTGTTCATTTACTGTAGTTGTATTCTGGCTTTATGATCCACTACAAATACACAGCCAATTTATTTGATGTTTCTTGCTCACTTATTTAGCATAGATGAAAGCCTTTGCAACAAACTTTACCACTCCTTTATTGCTCTGGACAACTTCCATTACGACCCTTCTTCTTTTTATTCATGACTTTAGCACTACATATACTTGGTTTTGTTTTCTGAAATGGATTAATCTTGTCAAGTGTGTGAATACATAAAAATAATTAAAGGTGTTTTAGTATATTTCAAAGCACAGTCTTTAGACGTTAACACCCTTGAAAATGTCAATGTTCCAAGGCATAATCTGGTTGAAGGCAGAGCTTTAATTGAGCGTGAATTAACATTCAAAGTTTACAAACAGATCACCACATTACAATTAAGAATACTACAGTTATACATTTCTATTCAAACAATTACATTAGAAATCAATGCTAATATTAATTATAAAAATTGTGTGATAATAATTCATAGTAAGTACCAATAAGATTGATAATAACAGAAATCACATCATTCTTTACTGGCCCAGTACAAATTTCCAATAAGAAGTGTGTGTATATAATAACATTCAGTTACACTCTCATTTTGCTGTATGCTACTGCCAAAGAAGTAGCTCAACATGTGTGATAGTAAGGCCAACCAAGTTACAATGTTATTGAAAGCATCAAGTATTGTGAGGTATAACACTTAAGTACAACAAACCATGATCCAGTTAAAGTAATGCATGTTATTATATCACATTAAGATTGATCATAATTTAAATCACACCATTCTTTATGGAACTAATATGAGTTTGTTGCTTTCTTTTGCTGATTCGTTTTTGTTATATTTTCCCAAAAGACCCTCAATAGTTGACTGCATTAAAAGAAATATGTAACTAATATTTATAAAAATTTCCAAACCTTTGAAGAAAATCTGCCTAAATGTCAAACAAATTATTCAAATTTTGAACTGCTGAAATATTGTAAAAATAAAGGCACTATACAGTTTGTAGTTCAAAGTCTATGGGAACTTAAAGTTCAGTAATCATCATCATCCACAAACATTTCATGACAGTAGCTGGAACGATGCTAGACACGATACTGGTTTACCAACACTCAACTGGCTACATGTTCACAACAGTAGCAACTAGTTTTCTGAATAATAAAAGTACGAGTCTATTAGATTGTCTTTCAAACATTATTCACATATTAGAATTAAAATGAAATTCACAGATACTTAAGTCTATAACTACTCCAATAAACTGTTACAGATTATGTTAAGAATTAGACGTTTTATTCCTCTTTCACCACTATTTTAAAGCCAGCTATTTACATTTTGGATCCTTAAACAAATACCATTCTTATGATAATTGTTTTGTTGTTTTAGGACTGCCTCACTTCTACTGTTACAAAATCTTAAATCAGCCACCACCTGTTACTTTGTAATATTCACATTATACTTATACAATTCTTATATTAATTGCTATGAATCACCATGACATAGAAGAGGAAGGAAATTAAGAGTTAAACTGATCTAAACTTTTTATTTTAAACAGAATACCTTTCCTCCTGCCACTTAGTTTGAATCACAATGTGAATTGGCAAGGAATAGTTTTCTGGCTTACTTAATTAAAGACATGGCAAAATCACTGGAAGGCTTATAAACTTTTATAACTCAACACTACAAACTGGAACGAACCAGAAGGGATGGGGACTTTCAATATAGTCATCATGGAACTTGGAGAGGATAAGTCTTGGCATAATATCTTCATCTCACAGCAGCAGATGTCCAGGAACATGACAGAACCAAATGCATCAGACTACTTTAAATAGCAATGAAATTGAATCAAAAATATTGACCACAAGCAACAGCAAGTGAGCATTACTTTTGAACTCTACTTCTGAAGTAAGGCTTGTGATGAATAAATACAAAAACTACTCTTACCGAAACAAGAAAGTGGTAACAACTCTTACGCAACTCTGGGAAGGATACAGGAATGTAACATTACAGTTAAAACTGTGTATTAGAAAAAGCTGTACTGCAGACATACAGAGGTGGTAGTCATAAACTTTCTGTAGAAGAAACCAAAATTTAACAGAGTGAAACCTGATGGGGATTTCTACATGTTAGCATACAAAAAAAATTTAGAGGCATCTTAACAGTAGCAATTAAATTATAAATATCCAAACAATACATCTTCTTCATAATAAAATGTAACACAAATTATGTGAGTATTCCTATTGCACACTCTACTACGAAAGAGAATTCAGTAGTAAAACATCAAATCAAAATCAGTAGTGTAACTAGATATTTTTGTGCCCAGAGCAATTTTGACAAACTGCCTCCCCCTCCCAACTTTTTATAATGATAAAGCAAAAACTATCCTGTTTACAATGATGTCTAATAATAAGAATACATGGGAAATTTTCTAAAAATCATATTATCAAATTTAGTTTTCAAATATCTGTTAAAATAGCTGGAGCCCTGCTTCCCCTTGAGGGGTGCATCCAAGACTGCTGTTCCTCCCTAGTTACGCTACTAACCACACTATATACGATGTAGCTTTTTAATATTTTCACTAAAATAAAACTGTGTATGTGGATCTCACACAAACTTAAACAGAAACTACAGGTCTTCAGTTACATTAAGTAGTTATGATAACCATTATAGACCTCATGATATCAATGTGTGTACATATAAGACATTATTTCTTTGATTTTAATACAAGAGATTGTAGAAAACAGAAACTAAATTCATTACAATCCACAACCTCTCAACTGATACACAAAAAGTGCACATTTTTATTTTACTATGATAATGATACTGGTGGATGTATTTAAGTTTAACAGTGGGCAATGAGAAGAGAAAACGAAAACCTGGATTACCTAATTAGCTCAATTACACTGTACACCATACAGGCTCACTACAAACACACCAAAACTTCCAAACATTCCACTAATTTGGTCAACTTCTTCAAATAACTAATAACTGTGCAGCATGAAGTTTTTAAACTCTCCACACTTCTGTGGCCAAGATTTTAAGTGATGACGAGCTGCAGCCCAACATTCTTGGTAACATGTTGCTGACATCTTAACCTCTTCATATGTCAAAAGTTCTAATCTGTTCCTGAAGAAAAAAAAATCTTGAATAGTGGTAAACACAATAAACATTAACTTATGTCTGCACCTGTATTTTGATATAAAGTATATAACATTACAGTCAAAAATATGATACATAAAGAAAAACTACAGAACATTTATCCCATATAATTGCCTAATGAAGTACTGTTTCACTGATTAGAACGTTTTGTATTATTCTTTTGTAGAATTAGTTCATTCCCAGCTAATGATTGAAAACTTTCTTTACTTGATAAATAAAACAAACTTAAAACAATGTTTATTCTCCCACCCACCTATAGTTTCTCTGATTCTGAAACTGACCGTTAAGGCTCTCTAAATTAAAGATGAGGCAAGAACTCTGTTTCTGTGATGGTTCTGCTCCATATTAAACACCTAGAGAGCTGAAAATTTTATGACCATCTGAAGCCTACAGTAATGAACCATATAAGCTCTCATCATTTCAGCTGTATTGATAAACCATGCAAGGGGCAGAGCTATTAAAGTATACTTACTAGGAAGACTGACTATCTGTAGAGATGAATACAAAATACTTCCACCTACCAGGGTTGACAAAGACTTTACAAAAAACATACCAGGATCCTTAAATCCTAATACACAGGATTAAACTGGCATTTTCATTCATGAAATTGGGTAAACTGAATAATAATCTAATAAATAATAAGAACAATTTTAGATCTACTACTCGTTTGTCTTGCTATTTTAATACGAACTTGTTTTATTGGCAAGTTGGATGAAGACGACTAATTTCCGTGAGTACCAACCATTTTTGGTGGTTCTCATTTGAGAATCTGATATGAAAAATTATGTGAACCTCTGATTATAAATAATGTAGTTTGATCACTGTATTCAATTAGCTATGCTCATTATTAGGTATACATGTTTAGTTCTGATCTATGTAGGAAGCTTGCTTTGGTCTGAAGTTAATATTAATATCTTATTTGTAGTGTAGTTTTTTTGGCAACTGAAGTTAAGTTCACATGTTTGATGAACACATAATCAGCCTGTATATACTCACCTAAATGGTGCAGGCCATGCCTTTTGAGGTAGAAGCTTTAAGGTATTCTCAAATAATTTGAAAAGTTCTATTCTGCAAACTTTTAGTCTAAAGAAAGAATGGGAAACATATTTTTCTTTAAACATGTGGTTGTGTTATTAAATTCTGTTAAGTGATATATGTACATTACAGACTTTTGCTTCAAAAGTCATGTCTATATTTATATTACATGTACTCTTGAAGATTTATCAGTACTTTATCACAACAAATATATATTTTTGCCACAATTAGCTATCACTGTTACCAAGAGAACAGAATCTGTTCTAAAAGTTTCTTAATTATTTTCTGTGATAACATATATTTTAGTACTATCTAGCATAAACAATAAACTGAGTACAATAAAAACAACAACTCTCAAATAAATGCTCAATGATTTTTTTAATCAAAGTGATATTTTGACTAGGAAACCCACTTTATTTCTAGTAGTTGTAAACCAACTGATTCTGAAAAAATCCTAATTGAAAAAATATAATCTCTAAATAATCAGCTTAAGCTTATTTTCACCAAAGCAACAGATAAGGGCTACAAAATATACTCAAAACAGTAAGTTATGATTGGAACCATCTGTTACTGCTTAATGTGTACATAACAGAGCCATATTTAATTGAAACTGTGTTTCAACATCATTAACTAATTCACTTTTTTTTCTCCCTTTTAATCATACTTCAAAAGTTATAATGCCACATGAGTTTTTGAAGACAAAAAGTAAGTATGTTTTTTAGACATCAGGGCTAATCATTTTAAATACCCTTAACATAAATGTCATAAAACTCAAATCTCAAAATATTTGATCCTTATTTTATTATGTTAACAGTTTTACTATGAGACTAAGTCTGTGAATAAAGTAATAATGTAACTTAACTGTGTTTAAATCCATGGTTAAACCATTAATTAGTATCTTACAAAGAGCCACACTATGTGTCAAAGTGTAGATTCAGTGTAATGTTGATACAATTAAAACATTAATTCAAAACATATAGAATTCTTATCATTCCCTCAACAGTAAGCTTCTAATGACAACATTTATAGTTTGATCCACGTAGCAGGAATATATTCAGCAATATCATTGATACAACACCAGTTGAATTACACAGTCTCCATATATTTATCCACCATTACTATCAGTACAATACTAGGGAAACTACACAGTTCAAGTATATATTCACCAATAGAATACTAGATGAACTACACAGTTCAAGTATATATTCACCAATAAAATACTAGATGAACTACACAGTTCAAGTATATATTCACCAATACTATCAATACAATACAAGGTGTACCATAATCTGAGTACGCATTCACCGATATTATCAAAACAATACCAGATGTACTACAACCCGAGTATATACTTGCCAATGCTATCAATACAATAGTAGGTAAGTATAAAATAGTGTGAATGTAATCATTTTGCACTTGACTATATCAAGTTTGATTTTGTCAACATTTTTAGAATTAAAATAAATTTCAAACAAGTACTTACCTTGTGAATAGTGAAAGCCTTTTCTTCTTTGTTGCATTTGAACTCATGCTGTCAACAAAACATGGGACTAAAAATTTTAAAATATTCTTTACGCATTGTAATAATTCTCCACTCTCCCATCTTCTATGCGACTTATTGTGCAAGTATCAGGAGATCTTAAATAGGCTCTACCTTCCTGCCAGAATTTATATTTTATTGAAAGTTGCAATTGTGAGGAAAATTTGATTATGGGGAGGTGGGAAGGAAGATATTCAAGATGTAATTACCTGTTTGAAATTTATTTTAATTATAAAAATGTGAAATTCAAATACGGTAGACTTACCTCTGAAATAGTGAAAGCCAGAAAATATGAAACTACAAGCAGATAATAATCTAGACTACAAGAAATATACATAGTCAAGCAAAATTTAGTAGAATCCAAAACCAGCAAATAATTCTCAGAATTGGATTAAAAGTAGAATGTGTAGAGTGGACCAGCCTCATAAAAAAACTGGACACTCAGAAAGAAAGCATTCTCCTCAGAAGGGTATCTCTTTACCCATGACACCTTTTAAGTTAGGCAGTGGATTTGGTGTCACCTGATTTAAAACCATCTGTAAAAACGGGACACAGAAAAATGGTTCGAATGATGTTCAGCAAAAAGAAAATGGTACTTTCAATTGGGAGTATCCACCTTCCTCAGATGACTGAAAGAAAGGTCACAGGGGATGGTAATGAGCTATGGTGGGATTGGCTGATCATTGAACTCGGCAACATCATCCAATGACAGACCCAATTTAGCCACCTGTGCTTGGATATGAAGGCCAAAAGGAGGAATGACAAACCATCTATTCTGAAACAGCACAACCCACTGAGGAAAGAAAACACAACCCCAGGTGGGATCGAAGCTTGGTAGCATACTATAAAGAAAGTTGCAAACAGCGGAGGTGAAGAGAAGGGTCATGGGACTCAGTGTACAGACTCTGGACTGGTGAAATGAAGCCCCAGATGGTATATGGGATCCAACATCTTCAGGGCAGAGGGCCTTGCAGAACCAATGACCAAAGACCCATAGTCCAGCTTAGAACATATGAGGGCATGGCAGATCTTCAACATAGAACATCGACCTGCTCCACAAAAGGTGGAAGAGAGAACATGGAGGTTATTCAGTGCCCTTGTACACTTGACACAAAGCTGCTTAATGTGAGAAATGAAAGTAAGCTTACAGTCATAGATAATCCCCAAGAACTTCATCTCAAGAACCAGAGGAATAATAACACCACCAAGACGGAGCTCAGGATCAGAGTGTAAACCCCATTGGTGGCAAAAATGAATGCAAACAGTTTTAGAAGAAGAGAAGGTAAAATCGTTTGCTGTGGTCCCCTTCAATAAGCTAGTGAGAGCAGTCTGAACCTGCCGCTCAATAAACCTCAAGTTCAACGACCGACAAGAAATGTGGAAGTTGTCGACATAGAGGCCATTTGCAATAGTAGGAGTAAGTTGTTGAGTGATAGCATTAATTTTAATACTGGAAAGTGTGACACTAAAGACAGCCTTGAGGGACTCGAAGTTCCTGTGTGAAGGACTGGGAAAGGGTTGAATCCACACAGACTTGGAATCGTATGTCAAGTAAAAAGGTACAAATAACAATAGGCAAATGGCCATACAATCTATATAAATGGAGGTCCCACAAAATACTAAACTTCCATGTAGTGTCATAAGCCTTTTCAAGATCAAAGAAGTCAGAAACAAGATGCTCTCTCTTGAGGAAGGCTTCCCTGATTGAGATTTCAAGATAAATCAGGTGGTTGGCCAAGGTGGAGCACTGTTGAAGAAAACCTCATTGGGTGGGAGAGAGGAGGTTGTTAGATTCAAGGAACCAAACAAGATGTGCATTAACCTCCTCTTTAAGAACTCACAGAGACAGCTATTCAGCAATTGAAAGATAACTAGAAGGAATCTTGGGATCCTTCGCAGGCTTTGAAAAAGGGAGAACAATAGCCTTGTGCCAAGCATCAGGAAATACATTCTCCTGTCAAATCCAGTTTACTCTTTCAATACAGGGTCGGTCAATGTGACGACCTCATAACAATTTTGTGCTTGTTATAGTTTTCATGCTATAACTTTTAAATCAGTAGGCAAATGTTAACAAAATTTGGCAGATTATCAGTAAACATTACAATGCTTTCATACATAAAATATCTAAGTTTTTTATTAAGTTGTAAGGTTTGTAAAGCAATGTTTCTCTCATGCCTTTTTTTCTTTTCACATCTTGCCTATCTGTCATACTTTTATGCATCAGAAAATTTTTAAATTTCACATGTGAAAT